TGGGTGTGTCAGAGACGGTGCGGTTGGCGCAGGATAGAGCAGGGTTTAGGGCTGTTGTGCATAGGGTCGCTATGAGTCGGAAATGACTCGACGGCACATAACAACAACAACAGTCATCATTATGTTAAATGAAAGAAATCTGATCAAAAGGAGAAATGTCCTATGATCCTTTTTATGCATATGATATTTGTAACTTAGTAAATAAATAGGAAGTAAGGTTTATTGGTAGTTATTGCGATTGGGAGAGAGTATGTGTAAAGAGTATGGAGTTCTGTTCGGGGTGATAAAAATCTTGAAAATAAGTATTAGTTTTGTTTGCACAACATGGTAAAATGTAAATAATGTCATTGAATTATACACTTATAAATGTTTAAAGTGGGACAGTTTTCTGTTATATGCAATATTTTACCACAGAAAACCCTCAATTTGTGACCCAGAATTTGAAAATCACTGCAAAAGACTTACACTGTTTTAGATAGTAACCAAGTTTAATCTCTGCTCTTTCTCCAGAACCGACTATACTTTGGACATAGAATACATTCAGTAGAAACTTATGGAATGACCAAAAAGAATGAGAAGCCTTAAAAGATACTAACTTTTAAAGTATCATTATCTTCATTTTTATCAAGAAAATGAAACTTAGACAAATTTATTAACTTGTTCAAAGTCATAAAGATAACGTTAGGCATTACAAGGGTTAATCTCAGCTTTGTTTTACCTTTAAAGCCATTCTAATTTTTATTTATGGGAGGCTTAAAAGAAGAAAATGACAGATATTCGAAGTGGCAAACTGAAAATATTTTCCAATCAGAAAAAATAAATTTATTCACATTTGAGATAATTATTATGGGAGTTTTAAAATATGATGACATTTTTATTTTCTATTTAATAAAATCATGATTTGTTTTTAAATACTGAAAAAATAGTAAAAGAATAGATGAAGCAAGATTGAGAAAATATTCCTTGTTAAAGCAGTAGCTTCTATGTATATTTTAAACTGTTCATTTTTAAAAGTGTAATTTAAAAAAACAAGATCCTCTCAAAGCAGCAGGTTAAAGTCGCACTGGATAAAAATTAATCATCATTTTTAAAATGGACAGCAATTTTGTTGTAGGATTATAGAAACATAAGAAAACCATGAGCAGCAAGCTCTGGTGGCCTAGTGGCAGGAAACTGCACTGCAATCCCAGAGATGCGTGGTTCAAATCCACCAGATGCTCTGCTGAAGAAGGAGGAACAATCGCCTCCTGTACCAGTCAGATCCAATTTGATGGTACACACGTAAAAAGAGTAAATGAGTAAAAAAAGAAAAGAAAAAGAAAACCATGAGCTTATTTATAGAAAGATCCAACATTTAGTACATAAAAGTGATTCAATATTTAATTTTTGTCTCATATCAGACTAATCAAAGGTCATTTGTGTAAAAAGAATTTAATAAACAAAGGTATAGATAAGCCTTTGTATCACATAAAGAAACAATTCTGTGGTTCTTTTTTAAAAAGGAAAGATTTTTATTAGCAGTGGCTTTCACTTCCTAAATAACATGCCTCTATGAAACTGTGAATTTGGATAAATGTTGATGGCTGTAGAGGGGCTTCAGGCCTTGTTCATGAAGTCGCTATGAGTCATGCTCAACTCGAAGGCAATCAACAACAACATCAGTGTAATTATAATTAAAATACTCATATGTATGGCATTACATTTCCAAATCTTTGCTGTTGCTTTATAAATTATACCAAAAGGTAAAAACAAAACAAAACAAAAACCCTACCTAAAATATACTAGCTAGGCATGGCTCTAGTATTGGTCTGAAAGCCATATCATATTTCAAGAAAATCCTTTTTATCACCAGGAATATTTTTTAATCAGAGTGGAACTGTTCCCCTAGGGTTTTCAATACTAAGAACTTTCAGAGATAAGTTGTTCAGATGATTATTTCAATGTACTTCTGACTGGAGTGAAACAAACTGTTAAAACTATGATGTAAAGCCAAAAATGTTAACTTTTTTGGAACACAGAGAAAGTAACCATTACTATATTTAAAATAAAAGACTAGACAAAAAAAAATTTCACCCAATAGTGTATGTTTATGCCAGTGTAAAATTGTAATTAATGAATGCGGGGGATAAAGCTGTGTAGTACTACCTGTGTCTTTTGAGTTGCAAAATGTTTTGTAATCAATTTACAAATTTAAAAAATACTGTGCTTTAAGGGGTAATCTAGGTAAGTGCCATCAAGTCACCTCCAACTCATAATGATTTTATGAACAACAGTTAGAAGCCTTGCTGTATCCTGCACCAGCCTTGCAGTCCCCTCCGTGTTCAAACTCATTTTTGCAATCACTGTGTCCATTCATTTTGTTGCAAATCATTTTCTTGTTCACTGACCCTCTACTTTTATAAGCATGGTATCTTTTCCCAAGATTGGCACCCCTTTTAAACATACCCAAAATATGTGAAATGAAGTTGTACGATCATTGACTCTAAGGAGCAGTCTGGTTGCACTTCCTCGAAGTTAGATGTGTTTGTTATTTTCTCAGTCTGTGGTATATTCAGTACTCTTCACCAGCACCATCATTTAAAGTCACCAACTCTTCCTCAGTCTTCCTTACTAATTATTCAAGTCTCACATGTAAATGAAGAAATTGAAAGTACCATGGCTTGAATCAGACACACCTTAGCCTTTAAATGGCATCCAGAGGTCCTTGACTACAGATTTGTCTAACACACTACAACTCGATCTTATGGTTCAGAGCACCATTTTTTTTTCCAGTGGGACCATAATTTGGCTCTTGTCAATTTGTTTTCTCCAGCATTGGTATGAACTTGCAAAGAGTAATTGATAGTCTGTTCTATGTCAGCCTCTGGCTTTGTTTTGACAATTAATATTAAAATTTTCTATTGTGGGGGAAGGGATTGCATAACAATGAAAGTTTTTCTTTCTTTTCAAGAAGAGTGAATTGGGGACAAGGGAGTGGGTAGGGAGAAAAGTGCAACAATGAGTGACTGGAAACCCTAAGTCTCTGTAAACATTCATTTAAATTAATTTTAAAAGACATTTTCTACCTTGTTCTTCCTCTATACCCATTTACTCTGTATATTAAGCAAATCATTAGAGAAGCTAGACTCTATGACGAAGAGGATTGGAGGGAGACCCATCAACAATCTGTGTTATGTTTATGACACAGCCTTAATTGTTGCAGATCAAAGAATAGAGTCTTCAATCTAGATTACATCTCAGCATCAAGAAAATAAAAATTATCAGTATTATACCAACAGTCAACATCATGATAGATGGGGAAGATTGAAATTGTCAGCAACTTCATATTACTTGGATTCACAATCAACACACTTGGTACTAGAAGTACAGAGATAAGAGATGTATTGCATTGGAAAAGTATGCAGTCAGGGACCGCTCTAAAAATACTGAAGAGCAATGATGTCTATTTGAAGACTAAGGCATGCCTGATTCAGGCCAAGTCTTTTCATTGCTTGCTATGCATCTGAGAGCTGGACAGTGAATAAGGCTGATTGACAGAAGAATTGATGTTATTGAACTGCTATGCCAGAGAAGAGTACTGAACATCCTATGGACGGCCAAAAGATCACAGTTTTGTCTAGGAGAAAGCACAGCCAGAGCTCCTTGGAGACAAAGTTTACAAAGCTTCATCGCAGATATTTTGGGCATTTTGTTAGAAAAGACTATTTATTCCTTGGAGAGAGAGACATCATATTTGGTAAGGTGGCATGTCAGTGAAAGAAAGGAAGGCCCCCAGCAAGGTGGGTGGACAGTGACTACAGCAATGGGCTAATATATGTCAGGAATTTTGAATATGGCAAGGGAAGGTACAGGGTTCACATCACTTGTCATAGTCACTGTAAGTCATAATCGACTCAACAGCACCAGCAACATAACAGCACTCTAACTTTCCACTGATGTAGTCAGGGTGATTCCTTTGTACTCCATCAGGTGCATTCCATGTATATGATCACTTTTTATGTTTTTAAAAAACACATTTGTAAAAAAAAATTTTAAATGGAAGAATAACTAAAAAAAAAAAAAGACCTTTGTAATGAATATATCACTGTACAGATTCTATCATGTAATCTCCAGCCTCATTTCTGTCACAATGGCCATTTTTTCCCCACTACCAGTCATCCTTCTGTTTCCAACTTTTGCATTTCACCAATTCTTCTTAATACCTCTTGATTGCTTGTTTGGTCAATTTCAAGTTATAGAAGATACTGGAGTTCAGTCCTAGCTCTACCACACTCGGTCTTATTCAAGGCACTTAACACTTTCGACCAGAGTTCCTGCATTCTGGAACTAATTTCCTACAGCTGTGAAATGAGGAGAGGACTATATGTTCTAGCTATAGACTGGGTTATTATGACTATTAGGTTGACTATTTTATAAGAAAGTATGTGTTGTGTGCTGTTGAGTCAGAGCTGACCCTCCAGTGGGTTTTCAGAAGCAATTAATCACATGGGAGGAGATTGCCCATCCTTCTCCCACAGAACAGCTGGTGTATTTGAACTGTGAATAAAGTATGAAACAGTAAAATTTTTCTAGGAAAACTTGAAAAGTATTTACATATACATATATATATAGTGATATATCCATATCTATGTCTACATGCAGATCTTACACATGTACACTACCATAAAGTGGTATTTATTCAGAAGACTATGCTAATTTAACTTTCTATTTGAAGTATACACATGTGAAATTTATGAGGTGACAGGCAGACCATCTCCAATGGCACCAGAAAGGGCCAGGTCCACTCTGTTGGTAGTAGAATACCATTTCTGTTAGTACTTGGGAATACAAAAGATCAAACGGATGATGATAAAACCTTGTCTAATTTTAGAGACCCAAATACCATTTTTTTGAAGTATTATCAGATAATTTGAGTCAATTTTTACATTTCCCATACTGTGTTCTTGTTCCTTTATATTGGTCCATAGTGACGTTTGTTCTTGGTCTGTTATGTCTCACAGCTGCTGATGGCCCAGGCGACCGGTTCATCATTGGGGAATCCCAAGCAGGTGAACAGGTGAGATTCATAGGTCCTTCTGGCTACCTTCCTCTGTCAGCCTTGTGGACTTTTACTATCTAGAACTGTTGCAAAGATTTGATAGTTACATTTAATATTCCTGTGCATAAAAATTATACATATAAATATGCAAAGCTTTAATGTTTTTCACTAAAAATAATAGGTCTGCAAAATGGCTTGATTAAGAGGCTGTATTAATGGGTTGATATTTCCCAAACAATAAAAAATATCTAGGATCAAAAATAAATAAATTTTAAATCCATTGGTCTATAAACCTTTTTGTTTAAATACTATGCATCATTATGGTCGAAAATGACATTACAGTGTAACAATTTTAAATAAGTTTGGAGTGTCTTTTGTTCAAAATAGGATTAGGAGCTAATAGGTACTCGGCTCAGTGCCAAATCAAATTCCAAGATTATACTTCTCCAGTGACAATGGGAGAAAAAACAGGGACAACCTGGAGTTACACTCTAAAAAAAAGATTGCATATGCAGAATCAGTTGGCCCAATATCACTCTTTTGTTAAGAAGTGACATTATAAAATATTTGCATTAATGAGTGATATCTTAAGGAGGGTATAATCTAATAGTGAAGAATCTTTGTATTTGCAGCTAGACAAAACTAAATTTTATGTGTCAGTGTTATTCTGTACTGGTGGTTAATCTTGAGCAAGTTGGTTAATCCTTTTGATTTTTAGATTCCAAACCTATCATATTGTGAAGGAAAGAAAGAAAACTATATGAAGTTTTGGGGAAACCAAAGTAATGTGCAGTCAGGTGCTAGCAACAGTGAAATGCCATTTACACCTGTAGCTCTGAAAGCGTAAGGAAAATGGTAACTCACCATGAGTGGATTCATAGGTATGGACGAAGGCACTCAATGGGAGTTGTGCCTTCAGCAGTAAGAATGATGCCATCATTGAAGAACTGTACCACTATCAAGAAAAGAACAAGGGAAATATAACCACTACTTTTCTCTCCTACCCTTTTGATTCATTGCTGACCTTTTTCTTTGCTGAATATGACCAGAACCCAGAAGGATGGGAACCTTGTTGAAAATAGTCCATTGAGAGGTCAGCTTTCTGGAACATAGCACAAAATAGAGAATATAATATATGTGTGAAGGGCATATAGAAAATAAATACATTCCTGTCTTTATAGGGGTTGTAGGCTAGTATCTATATTTACTGTGCTTAGGATAGACTGAAGGTCTATTATTGTTTGTTGCTATAACATTGTAGAGAGAACCTTTTTTTAGGATTTTCTAGTAATTTTCAGATGCACTTTCATTTTACTTTGAACAATTAAGTATTTTTTATTGCTTAACATTCCCTAACATTTTAATTACTTATGAAGTATACACATTTGAAAAATGTAATTTTTTTTAATTTGGGAAATTAATACGACCTCAAGGCTTCCTTTAGAGAGAATTTAAAGCGTTGCTTTCCTCAACTCTGACCTAAATAACCAGATAAAACCTATCAGCTGTCTCTTACAGAAATAGACATTTCCCGTGCTGGGTTAAGTTTTCAGGAGAAGTTCTTTAGTTAAAACATATTTTCCCCAGACTTCGATCCCATCTGTATTAAAGTTCAGACTGTGAAAATCTCAGAAATAATAGTTAATCTAAATTATTGCAAATATTGGAATCTTTTTTTCATGATTCAATTCTATTCATTAGCCTTTATTATTAGTTTAAAAGTAAGCTATTGTACTGGACAAAGATTTAAAAAAACAATAGTAAAATTAATTCATTTTTTTCCAGGGATTGCTTTTACTTAACTAAAAAGTTTCTTTAATAAAACACTGCATTTCTCAAATATCAGAAGTTCAGTAAATCATCACATCCTATTTCCTAGCATGCTTTACAGATGCTTGAATCACTTTACATATATTAAGAAAACTACAATTAATTCAGTGAAAAACAGTAGTAACAAATTTAAATGACAGTTCTTCAAAAGGGAAACAGAAAGCCAAAGAAAGGTACCCCCTATTCCCTTAAAGAACCTAAAGTTGATTTTGAACAAATTAAATCCAGTGTAATATAAATGCACCTGGTTGTGAATAGCTTTTATTTTCCTTTTATGGTTTGTTTCTAAAAATGCTACATCCCCCACAGACTTTTCCTTTGCAAGAGCAAAGTAAATTGTTTCTCTCTTACTTGTTTGTATTTCAGCCAACTCAGACAGTAATGCCAGGACAAGTCATGCGGGTTACAACAGGTGCTCCAATCCCCTGCGGTGCTGATGCAGTAGTACAAGTGGAAGATACCGAACTCATCAGGGAATCAGATGATGTACGTCATTACCAGGTCTTAGAACCCAGTTGTTCCTCTGGTAGTGTTATATGTCTGGCTCACAGCCCAAATGTTTTGGTTATATTAAGAACTATGTGAATGTGTCTCTCATAAGGAATGACTGTAAACTTGAAAAATCTTTCATAGCAAGAGAGGATTTTGGTTTTGTTTTTCTCTTTTGTTCTGCTTTTTAAATAATCACTAATTTTATTATAGAAGAATTCAAACCAGGTTTGCGCCAAGGAATTTCACATACAAATGTTGTTGTTGTTGTTACTGTTGTTATGTGCCATCAAGTCACCTGTGACTCATAGCTCTGAAGCCTGCTCTGTCCTGAGCCAGTCTCACTGACTCTGACACACCTACTTTCATTGTCCTAGTTACTGTATCAATCCATCTCACCCGGGGTCTTCCTCTCCTGCACTGCCCCTCCACCCTTCCAAGCATAATACCCTTCTACAAGGATCAGTCCCTCCTCGCCACATGCCCTGAGTATGTGAGAAGGAGTTTCAAAATCCTCGCCTCCAAGGAGAAACTTGCTTTCACCCTCTCCAAGACAAAATAATAAGAAGGGAAAATACCGCAACATAGAAGAGCAGAGCTATTAACAGCTGACATGGCTTCAAGCTGAGAAATTGATTCCAAAAAAGAATTGAAGACATTAAAATGGATAAAGAATTTAATACAGAAGAATTTAACAAAGAGTACAGCTCTTGAATAATACATTAAGCAAAGCGTTTGAACCAAATGACCCTTTCAGTTCTTATTTTCTGTAACTCAGGGAAATCTGTACTACTGAATAACAGCCTTAAGTTCTCCTTCTGTTCTCTAAAAATAAAAATTTATGGGATCTTATAATATATAAACAGATCGTTATCTAGCTGAAACTAGCAGCAAGAGCGTAAGCCACTTAATAAGGAAAATAGTTTCAATTGAAGTTTTAATGGCTGATATTTATTTTGTAAAGATTGAAATATATTTAAAAGACTGATATAAAAGACAAGTTTATAGGCCAAAAGGCTTGGTGAAATCCAATCACTTTGACATGATCAGTTTCATTTTACTCAACTTGTACAGCATATAAAATTTAACTCTTGGGATGCAGATCACATTGTCTGCTGTTAAAGTGTTCAAGCAGATTTATGGCACCAAAACATTGAAATCCAGAACACATGCGTCCACAGACTCTGCCAGATGACAGGACACAATTCCAATATCGCAATACTGTTCACCGCACATAAATGTAAAATTGATGATCAGTATTAATCTACAGATATTTACTAATAGGCAGACTAAGTCCCTCACTGAAATATCTGGAGCTGTTAGGGAACCTTGGCATAAGGTCAATTCAGTGATTCATGAGAATAGAAGTTATCTCCATGCCCACACATCGAGTTTATTCATTAAGATAGATAGGTATATAGCTAAATATTACTGCCATTGAGTCAAAACTGACTCACAACTGACCCAACCCTCCTCCATTGGGTTTTGTGTGACTTCATTCAAGTCACCTGAGAAGAGATTGCCCATCTTGAGTTAGCAGTGCAACTTACCTACTAGGCCACCAGATTTTTCACACACACACACACACACACACACACACACACACACACTACATACACACATTGTTGTTAGATGCTAACAAGTGTACGAAGACTCCTAGCTATTTATGCACAACAGATCAAAACCTTGCCCCATCCTGTGCCATCGTCACAATCTCCACTGTACCTAATCCCAGTGTTGGAGTCATTGTGTCAGTCTGTCTCATTGATCTCATTGAGGGTCTTCCTCTTTTAATCGACCCTCTAACTTTCTAAAATCCAGATATATATCTATATCTCTACATATCTATATCTATATCATCTATCTATAAATATATATCTAGAGAGATGATTGCTAGATGATACATAGATAGATAGATAGATAGATAGATAGATAGATAGATAGATAGATAGATAAGATAGATAATAGGATGGATAGATAGACAGATAATGATGCTCATATACATACCCATATATATGGGGTTTTTTCCTGCTAGAGAATACTACTTACAAACTAAGATTCAGTGTCTGAACTACTTTGAAAGAGTGTAAATTTAAAAATATTTCATTTCTTTTTTACACAAAACATCCTATTCTTATATAGAAGTACAAAGTGTTTTCAAAGACTTAGCTAATGGTTTTATGTTTCTGTGTATTTTTATGTAGTCTGGACTATCTGCCATGGTGGCAGAGTCCACAGGGAATTGTCCTGCTAACTCAAAGGTGGTGCCCCTCTGGTCATTTGACTCCACCAGTGGCTCCACAGGAAAAATATGGACAATCTCTTCCCTTAAGTTTTACAAACCCTGAAACAGTGGAGAGTCAGCAATGAGTTGGTTCCAACACAACAGCAATGAGGTTTGATTATTTCTTGCCTGTCTGTGATAAAATCATATCAGTTCTACCAGTGATAATTGCTGTTTGAAATTCCATGTTGTACTTTTATTATAGGGCACTGAAGAACTTGAAGTGCGAATTCTGGTGCAAGCTCGGCCAGGCCAAGATATCAGGTAAGTCTGTAACATATAACCAGCTGTTGCTTCTACATAATTCTAAACTCAGTAGACAATGACTGTTACAAATCTACAGCTGTATTGATTAACTATTAGCTTTCAGGGCTAACAAAGTGAGTGGAAGTTACTTGCTAATTCACTCATTTCCATTAAGTCAGAACAGACTCATAACTGACCCTCCCTTGGATTTCTGAGACAATAAATCATATGGGAAGACACTGCACCCTCAGAGCCACTAGTGGATTCAAATTATCAAGTTAGTTACTGCCTTTGAGTTAGCAGCAACACAACTCCCTACAGACTATGCCACCAGAGCTATTAACAAGTAACAAAATGGATTTTCTGAAATTATCATCCTATATCTGCCTAACCACTTTTTAATGAAAATATTAAGGCAAATGTAATAGTCAAAAGCAAAGCTCTGATTTGTGCTTTGAAGAATCCTGGAAAATACAAATCCGTTTCAGCATTTGCTCCAATTTGCAACCCAGTGCTCTGTCCTTGGGCAAAAAAGCCTTTGGTGGATATTTGGGGTCAGATTGAAGTAAGTGGAAGGCTTTATGATGCTACTCATTTTGTGAAGTCCTATCCAGATTCTCAGCTGGATATACTGATTGATCAAGGAAAAGATGACCAGTTCCTTGAAGATGGCCAGTTACTTCCCAATAACTTCATAACTTCCTGCACAGAAAAGAAAATCCCTCTTAATTTTAGATTGCAAGAGGGCTATGATCACAGCGACTATTTCATCGCAACCTCATTAATGAGTGATCGCATCCGACACCATGCAAAATACCTGAATGCATGAAAAGCTAGAAGCTCTTCAGAATCATAAATGTTGTAATTAACCAAATTGCAAGGAGGAAGAAAGATCATAATGCTGAAAGTGTTTCACTCTGTAATTGAATCACCTGAATAAATACCTAAAACCTAAAAAAAGAGAAAGGCGAATTCATGAGTGTGCATTTTCCACAGTTAACCCTACCTTAAGAAAAAACCCTCCAGCAAGTTTTCAGAGGCAGCAAATCGTCCAGGAGGAGATTGTCCATCATTCTCCTGTAAAACAGTTGGTAAATTCAAACTGTGTGCCTTTGGAACTACTTAGCACTAAGCCACCAGAGCCCCAGAACTTCAAATTATATAACCGTATTCCTGCACAGGCCAGAATTTCATAATAATGTAGATAATCCCAGAATTGTAGGTCATCCTCTACTGAGTATCAATAATAATGACATAATCTGCTGGTTTTTAGTTATAAAGATGAGTCTACCACCTTAACCACTCATAGTGCTTATACTTTATTCTTATTCTTATACTGGAACATGTTTTATTATACTCAGTATCCCCTTGTAACATAGCTACATTTCTGAATTCTTACCTTATATCAGAAAAAGTTTGCAATAATGTCTTTAACTGTAATGTATACAAAGCAATTTAAAATAATGTTTAAATACTACATGACATATTTCTATTAACAGTAATAGGCATAAAACCTCTGTATGTCTTCCATTGTGCTCTTTAATTTTAAACATTAAAAAAAGCATAAAGTTTTTAGACTTTCTTCATTTCTTTAACCTGTTCCTTTCTAGTCACTCGACATTTTTCTCCCCTTAAATAGTCTTTCCTTCTCTAACACTAACATTTTTGTCTGAATTAAAGAAATGTCATTCCTGGTCCTACCTCTTATGATTCTATTTTGACTTTCAGACCCATCGGCCATGATATTAAAAGAGGGGAGTGTGTATTGGCCAAAGGAACGCATATGGGCCCCTCAGAGATTGGTCTTCTGGCAACTGTAGGTGTAACAGAGGTTGAAGTTAATAAGTTTCCAGTGGTTGCAGTCATGTCAACAGGGAATGAGGTAAAAAATAAAATAAGGACAGGGAAGGAGGGAGGTTGGTGCTTTCAGATAAAAGTATTTCATCTGTTCTGTGTTATGAATAGAATTTTGTGAAGTATGGATTTTACCAGTAGGTACATATTCCTTTAATAGGGAAGTAAATAATGTACTGTCAATGGGATACATCAGGTACAGCAAGGCAGAAAAAGGACTAGAAAGAACGTACTAAGAAATATTACATCTTTATTACAAAGATATATTACGACCATTGACCTCCCCACAAACTCAGAACACATAAAACACTAGCTTTAGGTCTATTAGCAAATCCACTAGCTGTAGATAGATATTTAACCATGCAGACGTTAGAGCAACGAATTGAAAATTCCCTGCTGCTGGGATAGTGGGCCATTTCCATGTGGGACTCATTGAACGAATAGGTATGCTGTGGTTAGCCCATCTTAAAAAGGCTCATGTGTTTTTTTTACCATCAGGAGGGCTTACGTATTCAGTATGTTCTCTTTAAAGAAAGTATCTTTAACAACATGCTATTCAGAATGTATCAAAATATATCATTCCATATCTGGTTTAGGAAGAGAAATTAAGTCAGCTTATTTTGAGGATTGTCAAAAATCTTCTTGTTCCCTTTTAGCTAACACTTTAGGAAACTTCATTAAGAACTTCCAAGGTCAAACTGGAAATACTGAAAAGTGAATCTTGAATCTTCTGGAAATTCATAACCTTTTTAACAAAACTATAAATTGTTGCATTGTAAAAAACCAATCCTTTACATCCTACTTTTAAAGAAAAGATTAACAGAATTTCTTTCTCAACCTCTAACATTATTTTTAAAGTCCTTAGGATGTGAAGTTTGGGAAATAGTAAACTTTGAAAGGTTTTTATGTACCTAATTGTTTAGGTTGTAGAAAAAGAATAGAATATATTATTTTGCTTTGGTATAGGAGGAGGAAAAAATACCCCAATATTCTAATTTTACATTCTTCCCAGTTTAGATGCAACAGTCATTTCCTAAAACTGCTACTTGAACTGAACAAAGTTCTTGCTAGTTGGTCTTCATGATTTTAATATTCCTAGTACAACCTGACACCATGCTTAGCATCAGAAAGAAATTTCTGTTCAATTCACTGCCTTATTGAACCGTTCATATTTGTATGTTTTGTATACCTCAGTGAGCTCCTGGGCTCTCTGGGAAAAGTAAATAAAAGGAGCAAAACCTTTTTATCCTACCTAATTATTTGGAGACTAGGTTTAAATTGTAAGGAGGGACCAGTCCTTGGAGAGGGACATCATGCTTGGGAGGATGGAGGGACAGCGCAGGAGAGGAAGACCCTCTATGAGGTGAATTGATTCAGTAACTGGGGTAATCGTGATGGGTGTGTCAGAAGCAGTGCGATTGGCACAGGATAGAGCAGGGTTTGGGGCGGTTGTACATAGGGTCACTATGAATCTCAAGCAACTCAACAGAACATAACAACAACAGGTTTAAATTACATTGTTTATATTCTCTCTAATACATTGTGATACTAGACTTTGTCCCTACTTATCCTCAGAGTACATTGGTAGTGCTTTTTAAAAGCTATAATTTACTCTTTTTTAAATTATTTTGTACTGATTTGTTAGCAAAGTTCAAATACATTGTTTTTCACGCAAGATCCTTGCCATTTCCTTCACACACCTCCATCAAATTGTGCGATCCTATGATTAACAACTCCCCTCCCCACCCATCCTCACCCCTCTGTTTCCACCCTCCCCGACCCCTTACATACTCATACTCATTCTACAATAAAGGTTTTATACAATATTTGTCCTTGTGGGACTAAGTTCATTCAGCGTAATGCTCTCCAGTCCCTCCCAAGTTAGGTAATTTACTAAATCATTGCTCCTGAATGCTGCATAGTATTCTATTGTGTGAATATACCACAACTTCTCAATCCATTAATTTGTGTTTGAACATCTGGGCAGTTTCCATGTTCTTGCAAAGATAATAGGCACTTCTATGAACATTGGTGTACAAGTCTCCATTTGAGCCACAGTTCTCTTTTTCTTTGGGTATATTCCAAGCATTGGAATAGCTGGGTCATATGGAATTTCTATGTTCAGCTTTATGAGGAAGCGTCAAACTGCCTTCCAGAGTGGTTATACACCAAAACTGTATAAGAGTTCCTATCTTGCTGTATCCTCTCCAACATCTATTACTTGCTGTACTGTTAAATTTTGCCAATGCTACTGCAGTGAGATGCTATCTCATTGTGGTTTTGATTTACATCTCTCTTATTGCCAGTGACTTTTAGCATTATTACTTCATGTGTCTGTTGGCCATTCAAATCTACTTCTTGGTGGCAAGGAAATAAAGATGGTTTGACATAGAATATAAGGAATAGCCCTTGTTCCTTACTTCTATGAATCTGATTATTCTTAAAAAGGCTTTGATTCAATTTTATGGAAGAATGATGCTGTGGTTTTCTGTAGCTTAACGTAATTTCCCTACTCTCATCTAAATAACTTTTTTCATATTTTTTTAATTGTGATTTTGACAAAGGCTTACAGAGAGGTTCGTTTTTCATTCTTAATTATTGTACATGTTCCTCTCTCCCCATTGTTTCTGCTTCCCCCAGTCCTCTTTGTACTGCAACTTTTGTTCCAGATAGTTGTAAAAGTTACAATGCCTGACCATATATTCCTTTCAGTTCTTCCCTTCATCTGTTCCAATGTAGTATTCCTTTTGTATTCACTCCTTACTTGTTCTCCCCTCAACTCTTCATGTCAGTCCTACTTTAAAACAGCAGTGTTATACAGTCTTGCTTTTCTTCTTTTTAAATTTTATATTCATTTGTTTAAAAAGTTTATCCACAACATAAAGAGTCTTCCCAGTATTCTGAAAAATTTACAACCAGGAGAAGATAAAATAGATGAATGGGACCTTCTAAGAATCAAATCCCTATGCGCATCCAGAAACTTCTCTAACATGACATGTCAGACAAGGGACTTATATCTAGAATTTATAAAATACTCGAGCACCACAACAAGATCAAGGAGAATAATCCAATTGAAAAATGGGCACAGGATATGAACAGACACTTCACCAAGGAAGACATTCAGATGGCCAACAAGCACATGAAGAAATGTTCAAAATCCGTAGCCCTGAGAGAGATGCAAATCAAGACAACCATGAGATATCATCTCACTCCAGTAAGACTAGCAAAATTTAACAGAACAGCAAGCAACAAATGCTGGCGAGGTTGTGGAGAGACTGGGAACCTGATTCACTGTTGGTGGGAGTGTAAAATGGTACAACCACTGTGGAAAGCATTGTGGCGCTTTCTCAAAAAGTTGCAAATAAAGATACCATTTGACCCAGCAATTCCACTACTGGGAATATACCCTAAAGAGACCATAAATGACATCCAAGTAGATATATGTATACCCATGTTTATCGTGGCTTTGTTTACAATAGCAAGGAGTTGGAAACAACCTAAATGCCCATCAACAAATGAATGGGTAGAGAAGCTGTGGTATATTCACACAATGGAATACTATGCTGCATTGAAAAACAAGGAACTCATGCAATATTATTCAAAATGGGTGAACCTGGAGGACATTATGCTGAGTGAGGTATCTCAGTCACAAAGGGACAAATGCTATATGATGCCACTGTTGTAGAATGAGGCTGGCATTGGGGTGGGGGTAAGACTGAGAAAAACTGGATGAAATATGTTTACGGCATTGAAATCTATGGGGGAGAGAATAGTCTAAAAGTATTATATTTTAGGGCATTATTTTTACTGTAGGAGTATGCAATGAGGGTTGTAGAGTGGATTATATTTGGGGGTAGGGGGTGAGGTTTGGGGAGGTGCGGGGTGGGGATTGTGTACCAATGAGGGAGTTTTTCTTTTGCTTTTCAAGGAGAGGAGCAAATGGGGGGGAGGGGGGAGGGGTTTGTGCGGGGAGAAGGGTGCAACAATGAATGAATGGAATCCCAAAATCTCTGTAGATGTTCATTGAAATGAAAAATAAACAACCTAAATTTAAAAAAAAAAAGTTTGTATACATTGTGTTTTGCACTATTCTCCATTCAGGTTGTGTTTCATACAACCATTCTCATGTTTTATGTTTTATAAAATTAATCACCATTGAAACTTGACCATCATTACCCTGTCTTTCTGGGTCCCTACTGGATCCTTCCCATTTCCTTCATCCCCTCCCTCCACCCACAAAATTGTGCAACCCAGTGATTTCACCCATACCTCTCATGATCCCTCTGTTCCCACCCTTCTTAAGTCCCCATACTTGTTTTGCTAGTTATCCTACTATCTTTTAAAAAAATGGTCTTATGCACTATTTATCCTTATGAGACTGAATTAGTTCACTCAGCACAGTGCTCTCCAGTCCCTCTCAAGTTATTGATTTATAAAATCATTCCTCCTATGTACTGTGTAAAATTCCATTGTATGAATGTACCATAATTTTTCAATCCATTTTATTGTGGTTGGACATTTAGCCTATTTTCATGTTCTTGCAATGGTGAAAAGCGCTTCTATGAACATTAGTTTACAAGTCTCCATTTGAGCTACAGTTCTCATTTTCTCAGGGTATATTCCAATCAGTGGAATGAATAGCTGAGTCATATTGAATTTCTATGTTCAGCTTTTTGAGGAAATGCCAAACTGCCTTCCAGTGGTTGTACATCAACGATGTGTAAGAGTTCCTATCTCACCACATCCTTTCCAACATTTATTACTTGCTGCACTGTTAAACGTTGCCACTGTTACTGGAGTGAGATGCTATCTCATTGTGGTTTTGATTTCTATCTCTCTTATTGCCAGTGATTTTGAGCATTTCTTTATGTGTCTTTTAGCCATCCAAATATCTTCCTCTGAAAATTCTTTCCATGGCTTTTTTTCCCCACTTGGTAATTGTGTTGTCAGTCTTTTGTTGTGAATGCCCTGTAGGATTCTATAAACTTTTGATATGAGATCCTTGTCTGGAATGGTATTACCATTGTT